GAAATGGAGCTCAAAGTAGGGGAAATGTTTGATTTTTGCCAATGTTCAAAAGTAAAACAATGATGCCATTGTCCAATAAATGTCCAACTAGCCATTCTAATATGCAGTCATGAATGGGTTGATGTTATTTATACAATTATTACAGATTGCAGTAGTCTGCATAATAGTAAGTCTAATATTTTTTGTTTGAATAAAAATTCAAAATAGAAAGCAAGAGTAATATCAGAAGGGCCTGGAGCGTGACTGATGAACAAAGAAAATGTTATTTTAGAGCCAGGAATGTCTGCATTGTTCATTCTGGACCTTTTTTTTGAAATTGTCATTTTTTTTTAGTTTTCGTGAAATTGGCCAAATGCAAATTTCTGACCAATTATTAGGTATTTTGAAATCAGTAAATTGGGCAGTTTCTTGTATTCAATCGATAGAAAAAATGAAGTTCTAAAAAATAGCTATGAGTTTGGGCGACTGGAACAATGGAATTAGGCGAAAATAGGGCTCAAAGTGGGCGAAATCGCCGATTTGTAAACAGCGCCGAGGTCGCTAACTTCACGAGAGCATAATTCCGTCAGTTTTCCATCAAATTTCGTTTTTTTTGGTGTCATTACAATCGGGAAAAGATTCTCTATCATTTCATAAGAAAAAATAATTTTTTTTTTTTAAATTTTGCGACGCCAGGAGACACCTCAGGATTGGGGGTTGCGACAGTCAAAGGGTTAATCCTTTGAGGGTCCAGATGCCCAATCTAAAACTTGTTTTCAGGGTTCAAAATTATAAAAAAAAAAATAAATAAATAAATGACTCCTATGAATTTATAGAGAATCTTTTGTGGAAAGTAATGACACCAAAAGTATGAAATTTAATAGAAAACTTATGGAATAATGCTGGCGTAAAGTTAGCAGTCTCAGTACGATTAATGCACTAGTGATTTTGCTCCTTTTGAGTCCTGTTTTAGGCCAATTCCGATGTTCCAGTTGACCAGATTCTTAGCTATTTCATGCTGTATAGCCCTTGTGGTTTAGCGCTTCTTTTTGATTATAATAATAATTAGCTATTTCACTATTATGCCTTCCAGTCTATCGATTGAAAACAAGAAACTGACCATTCACCTATTTCAACTACCCAATAAGTTGATCAGAATTCGGTAATTTGGCCAATTTCACACAAAAAATGCCAGTTTAAAAACAGAGTCCATAATAAACATTATAGGCATTCCTGGCACTAAAACATTTCCTTTGTTCATTAGTCACATCTCAAGCCTCTCTTATACGTATTACTATTGCCTTCCATTTTGAATTCTTATTCAATTCGCCATTTTAAACCAAACATATGTTCAAAGTTTTCTTTTTTCGCATCGTGCACTGCGTGAGCCAGGATTTCTTTTATGGTGCACAGTCACTGTACAGACCCAGTCTTTCATATGTAGGGCTACCAGCCCTCTCTTGCTAAATTTGGAGCCACTAGACTTTACATGTGATGTAGCATGGACCCTGAGCTGTATGTTGTGATAAGACAGCACGGACTCTGAAAGGATTAAATCAGCATTGCTTCTTGATATTTACTGCTTCTCCTCTTACTCTATCTTCTTCTGCCTTACACAAATAACTTACACTTAGGAGACTGAAATTTATGAGGACATTTTGTTCCAACTTGGACCATTAACTAGTCACACTGAAACGGTGGGGTAGATCAGTGAATAGTACAATGTAAGCAGTGCTGTTTGTGGTACATAATAACGTATCCTGGAGAAGATGCCAACTGTTTTGGACACTTTTTTTGTAATGTGTTGGATGTAGGTGTTGAATTTCAAGTTGCTGTCAAGGTGCAGGCCCAGAAATTTTCCCTTATGTTTAGCAATAAGTGTATTAATCATAATGTTTAGTTGGACATTACTTGCTCTGCTCCCAAACATAATGTAGAAGGTTTTATCAATGTTAAGGTAGAAATGAGAAAGTAGCAGTAGTAGTAGTAATGGTAGTGGAAAAATAGGAAAAAAAATAATTGGAGAGGGTGTATTACTGTTGAAGAGAGAGTAGTAGTAGTAGTAGTAATATTGAAGATGGTCCATAAGAACTAGAGAATAAAGCAATACTGCAGGAGAGCTGCATGCCCATGGGCATAGGACAGAATCCCCTTCAGGACCAAACCACTACGGAACAGAACCCATTTAGGCAAAAAACTGTAAGGGCAACAAAAACATAAGAAATGTGAAGACGTTACGAGAGGAAGAGACAAAGGCCAGATTAGGTCGTGAGTGTTCCGAAGTTTAGTCCTGGTTTTGTCTCTGCAGATGCCATACTTTCTCATTACATTATCAGATGTAAAGAGAAAGCTGCTGCTGCAACCATTACTACTACTAATCCCTCCTCCCATTTCACCCTCTCTCCATGTTTCAGTATGATTAGCTAGTGGTCCAAGTCAGATGGAAACATCATAAGTTTCAGTCTTCTAAGTGTAAGAGGGTGATGAGCTTGGATTCTTCTCTATTGGGGCTAGTTTTTATCGGTTGGGTGGAGGATGACTGAGTAGTTGGGAAAAAGCGAGTTATATTAAGGAGATTTTATTTATTTTTTTGCTAGGGTTAAGTGGGTTGGGGGATGGATTCTGGGCAGAATGGTGGTTCCTGATGGTTTACAGAATATGTATCTCTCCTTTTTCCCCCTTCTCTTTGTAAAATATGTAATCTCAGGCTCTTTATCTCTCTCTCTTTCTGGATTGGATGTAGGGAGTGTACATGGCCTTCTCATTTCCCCTCCCATTACAATTCTTCTACACCAGTGATCCTTGGTATCCACTGTTCATTTCTGATTTCTCTCTTCCTGTCTTCAGTTCTCTCTCTTGTGGTATACCTATTTGTCATTTAAGCTCATCTGTTTATAGAAAGTCTTTGTCCTCATTATGTGTAGCTTTTCTATCCAGTGCTGCTGCTCTTGCTACCTATTTTATGATAACCTTGATAATTTTTATCCTGTCATTCCCCTTGCTTGTTTCATGGCACCCAGCTATCATTTTATCTGCTGGTTTTACCTCTATGTTTCTCTATTTCTCTTTTCTATAATACTATCTATCTCTTTGCTCATCTGATGTATTTCACAGTTGTTAGTGAGAAAACTGTCTGGATTATTGCTATCTGGATTGCTTTTTAACAATCCTGCCATTTCCTTGTTGATCTTACTTGTCTTACTTGAGGGTTCCTGTATCTTTGCTTTACTTCGTCTCTCATGCACCTGACTTTTATTGTATTTTTGTGTCTTCCCTGTCAGTCAGTGATGTGCCTTGGGCTTATTTTGCTCATATTTGTCTCTCTCCCTTGCTTTTGTTTATTAGTTTTTTAAGTCAGTCTTCTAGGTTCTTTACCTTATCCTCAATTTCAGTCTTCCATTTCATCATTTATTACTTTATTTGCACCTCATCCTCCAGTCAACATAAGTTCCTTTAACTTAATTTCTTTTGAATGAGTTCCCTTTTAATGAGTTAATACAGATATCCTGTCCAAATTATTGTAGCTAATGTGTTTTTATGATGTGAATTGAGTGGGTCTCTGTAAGTATGTTATGCTTAACTATTACAAGTGTAACTGCTTTTTTCACATGCTATGTCTTGTTATTAGCTCGCGTATAGATGATGCATACCATAGCATGAAAATGTAATTTTTAATGCAATACATACCTATAAATTATTAGCTACAGTTTTCAATAGCAGTGATCAACCAATAGAGTATCCATAGTCTTTTGTTCTTTATTGCTTCATAAAGCAACATAATTTGTAGTGTAGTTGCTATCTATAATCATTGTCTATGGCTACATAAGTGCTTGGATACCACTAAATGCATAATGATGCTGAACTAGTTAATATAACTTGCATGATAATCATAAGTTGCACAGTGAGAATAAATTAGATAATTGAAAGATCAATTTTGAGTCAGTCAAATTACCATTAGGAAATTACACATATAAAAATGTGAAAAAGTAATACAGTATATCTTTGCATTACTTATTGCATTAACTAGGAATTCAGTGTTTAATGGAGAAAGGACTGAAGAATTTGATCCTGTGTGTTGCCTATGCACAAAGCTACTTGAAATTAGATTTTATTCAGGTTTTAGAACTTTAGATGGTTTCAGATATCTTTGGATTATGCTCCTTAACTGGCTACAGATGTTTTGGCTTTCATGGAGAAAGTTATTTCTTTGCTAAGATTTACAGTTGCCATTCCCTGTCACTTTAATGAGATGGAGTGAAAACTAGTGATGTTATATTTAAAGGGTCAAAAGTGTTGGATATAGAAAAAATAAAGTTAGATTGTGGAACTCACTAAAAGCTACAGATGTGAGTTTTCTTATTTTTCTCAGATGCAAGTGTAATTCTTACTTACAGATATGAAGAACAGTATTTTATTTCTTGAATAAAGTTTTATTACTCATGGTAGGCAAAAAATTACCCTAAATTGCTATAGCATAGCAACTCTCAAAGTCTTGTGTTTTATATTTAATATTTATAAATAAAGCAAATCTTGTTACAGAAGGCAGATTTCATACTTATTTAACTTGAATTGGACATGTACAAATTGCATATTAATGCCACAGGCTAGTAGTGAAGATTTTACATATCATTGTATTTTGGATTTATCTGGTTCTCTTGATATAACCCATTTTGTATAGACTTATGTACATTGTACTAAGTCCAGTAACATGATAAAGTCTGCATAACACTTGGATAACATTTATGTGAGATTCATTGTTGGTCATTATCCTAAACTAATGTACCTTTGAAAGAAAAGAATTTTTTTTTGTGCTGAGAAAATGTGTATGAGACTTCCCTTAAGGCATCATTACAGAGCAGGGTTTTATGTGCTATATTACTTTTAAGTTAAATGGAAAAGGAAGATCAAGCAAAAGTTTGTCATTTTGAACAGCACCTGACTTAATCCAAATAACTAGAAGACCTGATGAATTTCTTTTTTCTTTTCAATAGCATCATTAATCAATTTTATATTATCCACAGCAACTCCATTTGTGAAACTGACATTGCAAAGTTGTCCTGAAGGTGACACCACAAATCTAGCATCACCCCAGGATCCTGCTCACCGACCACTTCCCCCTACACCAACGCAATCTAAGTCAAACGATCGTATAACTGCACCATTGCCTGTAAATGTGAGTAAAGATCTCTTAATCACATAATACATTGACAGTCTTCATATTTTGTGCAGAATTACATCTTTTCTGCGAATGTGTGTAATGTATGTGTACGTTTTTACTCTGGTAAATTTGTGGAAATATTCATTGGCTTGACAATACATCATTTATTTTGAAGCTGAAAGTAAATATTTAAGTCCTGCATATGTATTGAACATTTGTTATTTACTTTCTTAATTTTTTTGCTTATAGTAATACATAATGTCAAGGTAGGTGTAAACCAACACTCACAAATAAGTGGCAAATATATTTGCAGTTTCATTTACGTGAGTAACCTTCCTTTAACAGACACAGTTACAAAATCAGATGGACGTAAACAAAGGAAAAATGTTGACTAAGTACTTGGAAAAGCAGTGGAGAGTAAGAGATCATATTATGGTAGAGCTTCAGAGAGGTCCCTCTAAGGTTAGTCAAGTCCACAAGTAAGTCACCATGAATGACCACTGTGTGTAGGAAAAAACTGCTTCAGTGGAGAATGACAAAATATATTATGTGTTTAATTTCTTTATAAAACATGTTAGCTCAGCTTCATTGCATGTATGTATGAGCATGATCAGTATGTTGTAGGTAGATTAGTTGGCCTCAGTTGCCATTGGTAGCACTACCTTGGGGAATAAAGGAAGGAGACATGCACTCTCCTTCTTATGGCTCTTTTTGGCTATACACACTAGTAATACATTGTTGTCTGATATATTTTCATCACATTGTTTTCTTGGTGATTTTATTTTTATTCCATTTTCATTTTGCAGTTTCTTAAATTATGGTAGGCTTTCTGTCTCTCCGATATCTCCACCTCTTCATTCAGCATCTAACCACTTGTGTTCGTAACACATAGACATTCATTTACTCCATTGGTTTCCTATCTTATTTATCTCTCTTAGTCCCTTAATTGTGGCATAGTTTAAAATTAAATTTCCTGTGTGTGTGGCAAGATTTTGAAAAAAAAAGAAAAAGAGATCTTACAGACTGAAAGAGCGCATTTTTATGAATCAGATAAGGCTAAAATAAGCAAAATTTGATATAAACTTATATTTTTTGGTGTGTTGAAGTTGGCAAAAATGTGATTGCTCATTGGCAATAGCAGCATAAATATGCCAGCTATATTTACATTTTATTGATGCCTAATTGTGATTGTTTTTCAGTTTTTTTAATTGTTTTTAATGTTTAACACTATGTACTCTAGTTATGTATGACATTAGATGTGCTTCATGGTGTTTAAGTACTCAGTACTCAGTACTCAGTGGTCAGTCGTCACGTGAGGTCACAGACCCTGAGCTGCCCTTTGGGGGTTAGTGTGGACGGTTACCCAAAACATGGCTTGCTTCTGCAGTGTTTTTTAAAAAAATTTAGGGTTTGGAGAGTTGAAGGAGGAGGTCTTGCTTCTCCAGGAGGAATTAGGAGGGAAGGTCCCTCAAGGGTCTGGAGAGAGGGGTGAGGTGGCTGGAGTTGTGGGGGAAAGAGGCTTCTGCAGCGAGGTGCAGTCTTTTCTCTCGCTGTGAGGAGGCTGTAGTTGGGGGGGCAGCAACGGCTACCAGCATGAGGTGCAGCCCAGCACCTGCAAACAAGTGGCGAGTAGTTCACAGTAATGGAAGGCGCATCAGAGAAAGGGAAAGTTAAGAGTGAAGATCTAAGGTAGGAAATCGCTTCTCTGTTCTTCAGGATGAATGTACTTCAGTGCCAGTGAAGGTAAGGGTACAACTGCCCCTGCTAATGGAAGTAAGCCATTCTTGTGGTTGGTGACTCTCAGGTAAGATACATTGACCGTGCTTTTTGTAATAGGAATAAGAAGATGAGAGATAGAGTTGCTTCCCTGGAGCGGTGTTGGGGACATTGTCAACAGGCTGGATAATATCATGTCAGGTAATGGGAGCAAGCCCATTATCTGTCTCAGTGCTGGTGGAAATGATATTGGGAAGGGTAGGAGAGAAGAGCTGCTAGATAAGTACGGGCCCAGCTATAGATTTCTTTTAAAGTCTAAGGGAGGGATCCCAATCATATGTAGCATCTTGCCTAAAAGGGAGTAGAAATGAATGGTTGTCTAGGGCAATTGGTGTAAATTGCGGGCTAAAAAGATACTGCAAGGAACTTGCAATCCCATTCATTGACAACTGGAACAACTTTATGGCAAACATGAATGTATGCAAGGGATGGGGTACATCTCTCTGGGCTGGGTGGTAGCACTTGCAGACCGATTGAGAAGGCCATTGGGAAAATGCCTATGATTATAAACTGATGGAAGATAGAGGTATGGGTGTGTGGGGGAAACAAGCAGGTTGCAACACTTTGGGTTGGAAACAGTAAATGTATAAAAGGCTTTTCAGCATGAAGTAAAAAATAAAGACAAAGATCAGGTCAGCAAACAAAGGGGGACAGCAGAGGCAGAAGGGACTAGCTCCCTTAAGGTTTACTATACTAATAGCAGAGTGTAAGAAAATAAGATAGATGAGCTAAGATTAATTGCAAGTGCAGGAGAAAAAGATATTATTGCTATAACAGAGACCGGCTCAATCTGAAAGATAGAGAGATGCCCTCTGAATGTCACATACAAGGCTATAAATTTTTTCCACACTGACAGGGTCAACAGGGAAAAGGGGGTGGAAGGGGATGTAAAGTCAGAGACAATTTAAATTGTTGTGTTAGACAAGATATTAAATTAGAAGCGTCAGCCACTGAATCTGTTTGGTTACAGCTTCTCGAGGGCCGAGAAAAACTAATTTTGGTGTGATTTACAGGGCCCCAAATCTGATAGGGAGTGCAGTAAACTTCTATGGGACGAAATTCGTAAGGCATCTACATTTCGAAAATTTTGTGCTAATGGAGATTTCAACTATGACAGATTGACTGGAGCAATTTGACAGGAAATTTAGAGTCAGGTGACCTTTCTTGATACGATCCAGGATTGTTTTAAAACAGTTTGTGACAGAGCCAAATAGGGGAAAAAAACCTCCTTGACTTGGTTCTTGCCCGTAGGGGAAACACTAATTAATAATCTTGAGGTTAATGATGAGCTTGGGGAAAGTGATCACAAATCACTCAATTTTAATATATCATGGAATTCCCCTAATAATGGCAATCAAGTCTCCCTCCCTGACTTTCGCTTGGCTGATTTTATAGGGCTGAAAAATTACTTAGGGGGGCTGAACTGGGAAAGACCTGACTAAGGGTCAGGTAGGTGGTGATGGTTGCCGATATGATGCTTTCCAGGCATAGTTCTAGCTGCTCAGTCAAATTATGTTCCAAATAGGGAAATCAGATCAAACAAAAATGATCCTAAATGGATGAACAATAGATTAAAATATCTGATTGGTCAAAAGAGAGGCATATATAGGCAAATCAAAAGAGGAGAGGGGCAATTGAGAAATCGATATATTCAGTTAAAGAGAGAAATAAAAAAGGGAATTAGAAAAGCAAAAAGAGATTATGAGGTTAAAGTTGCAAGAGAATCGAAGACTAACCAAAAGGATTCTTTCAGGTATACAGAAGTAAGATCAGGGACAAGATAGGCCCACTCAAAAGTTCCTCGGGTCAGCTCACTGACAGTGATAAGGAAATGTGTAGAATTTTTAACACATACTTCCTCTCAGTTTTTACACAGAGGATACCAGCGATATTCCAGTAATGATAAATTATGTAGAACAGGACGATAATAAACTGTGTACTATTAGGGTCACAAGTGACATGGTCCTTAGGCAAATAGATAAATTAAAACCTAACAAATCCCCAGGCCCTGATGAACTGTATGCAAGGGTTCTAAAGGAATGTAAAGAGGAGCTTAGCACACCTTTGGCTAATCTTTTCAACATATCACTACAAAATGGCATGGTGCCAGATAAGTGGAAAATGGCAAATGTGATACCTATTTTCAAAACAGGTGACAGGTCCTTAGCTTCGAACTATAGACCAATAAGCCAACCTCCATAGTGGGAAAATTTATGGAATCAATAATTGCCGAGGCAGTTCGTAGCCACCTTGAAAAGCATAAATTAATCAACGAATCTCAGCATGGTTTTACAAAGGGGCGTTCCTGCCTTACGAATTTATTAACTTTTTTCACTAAGGTATTTGAGGAGGTAGATCATGGTAATGAATATGATATTGTGTATATGGACTTCAGTAAGGCTTTTGACAGGGTCCCACATCAGAGACTATTGAGGAAAATTAAAGCACATGGAATAGGAGGAGAAATTTTTTCCTGGATAGAGGCATGGTTGACAAATAGGCAGCAGAGAGTTTGCATAAATGGGGAGAAATCAGAGTGGGGAAGTGTCACGAGCGGTGTTCCACAGGGGTCAGTGTTGGGCCCCCTGCGTTCACAATCTACATAAACGACATAGATGAGGGCATAAAGAGCGACATCGGCAAGTTTGCCGATGACACCAAAATAGGCCGTCGAATTCATTCTGACGAGGACATTCGAGCACTCCAGGAAGATTTGAATAGACTGATGCAGTTGGTCGGAGAAGTGGCAGATGCAGTTTAATATAGACAAATGCAAAGTTCTAAATGTTGGACAGGACAATAACCATGCCACATATAAACTAAATAATGTAGATCTTAATATTACGGATTGCGAAAAAAGATTTAGGAGTTCTGGTTAGCAGTAATCTGAAACCAAGACAACAGTGCATAAGTGTTCGCAATAAAGCTAATAGAATCCTTGGCTTCATATCAAGAAGCATAAATAATAGGAGTCCTCAGGTTGTTCTTCAACTCTATACATCCTTGGTTAGGCCTCATTTAGATTATGCTGCACAGTTTTGGTCACCTTATTACAGAATGGATATAAATTCTCTGGAAAATGTACAAAGGAGGATGACAAAGTTGATCCCATGTATCAGAAACCTTCCCTATGAGGATAGACTAAGGGCCCTGAATCTGCACTCTCTAGAAAGACGTAGAATTAGGGGGGATATGATTGAGGTGTATAAATGGAAGACAGGAATAAATAAAGGGGATGTAAATAGTGTGCTGAAAATATCTAGCCTAGACAGGACTCGCAGCAATGGTTTTAAGTTGGAAAAATTCAGATTCAGGAAGGATATAGGAAAGTACTGGTTTGGTAATAGAGTTGTGGATGAGTGGAACAAACTCCCAAGTACCGTTATAGAGGCCAGAACGTTGTGTAGCTTTAAAAATAGGTTGGATAAATACATGAGTGGATGTGGGTGGGTGTGAGTTAGACCTGATAGCTTGTGCTACCAGGTCGGTTGCCGTGTTCCTCCCTTAAGTCAATGTGACCTGACCTGACTAGGTTGGGTGCATTGGCTTAAGCCGGTAGGAGACTTGGACCTGCCTCGCATGGGCCAGTAGGCCTTCTGCAGTGTTCCTTCGTTCTTATGTTCTTATGTTCTTATGTTCAAACATGGGAAAGTGCTTAGCCCAACATGGCTCCACTTGGAATATAC